TCAATAGTTATCTGCAAATTTTACTAGTGTTTTGCATTTGAATTTTTTTTTATCTTTAGGTTAAAACTAGAGATATTGTTAGTTCATAGACCTCCTTAGCAGTTCTAGAACTGAAAATAATCTCGCCTTGAAGATCTGAAGTAACTGAGTTTATCAGAGGTGAACATTTAATCTTACAGTGTATTTTGGAACACCTCTGTCTGAGGAGTATCAGTTTTACCAACCCCCTTTTCTTGTTCCCTACCCATCACATTAGGACAAGCACTCCAAGAATTCCACATCAATACCTTCTGGACTGCTTAGCTACTAGCTAAGGTGTCCAATATTAACCAAGCACCAGCCTTGCATTTTCAGCACACAACTTGCTTACCTCACCTTTGCTAGCTCGTCATGCACGTGATCTCTGCTTCTCCTAAAGCAGCATGAGGGGTACAGCTTTCTCTTCCAGTACATCCAGGTGTGTGTGTGTATGATCCAAAATGCTTTCCACTTACACAGCTGTAACTTTACTGTAATTAGCCCCATTCACTTCTGCTCCGTACACGGACTAACACGGGCATCCAAGAGGACACACCAGTTCTCACCTTTCCAAACAGATCCCTTCCAAAATTTCTGATGCTTTCACTTGGTTCCCACTGAATCTTATCATTACTCCCTGATCCTACCTAGGACTTCCCTAATTTCCTTCAGCTTTCAATTGGATCTCTTACCTCTTCCTTCAAGAAGAGAAGGTGCATTTTAACCTTTGACCTTTTGATATACTTTTAAAATAATTCCAGAAATGCTGAAATACGTTATCAAGACCAATCACAGCTATCACTCAACTGCCAGCCAAACATGGTTTTAACAGCCCACGACATCTTTCACTTTTGTGAACTCTGCCACACTAAAGTCTTAGCATATAAAATAAATCTTTCACCTAAGCCAATGAGATTCTGGTCTCAAAACAGAACTTCACACTACACATTTAATTATCTTTAAAACCTACTGAATTTTCCTAATTAACACATGAAGACTATGAGAAACTTTTCTTACTCCATTTTCAAGGTGGCAATGCAAATAAGCCAAAAGGATTCTCGCTGTTATCAAAACAAAGCAAATTGGAAGAGCCTGTGGCTCTCACAAAACACCAAACATCTTTACTAGCAGTCTTGTCAATGTATTTAAGTTCAGACTTTAATTTTAACATATATTTTGTATAACTTGTCACTTTTTGCCATGGGTAACCACAGCACAGCTACACATTAGCATAAGCCAGCAGTACTACGGCAAAGCATGCTCTAGGGACCAGCAACAGTGCTGCAACATCAGCACAATATTGCACCTAAAGCAACAAGCTGCTTTTCCTGAGATACAGACCAGTATTTGTAAAAGACAAAGGCACAAGCTGTAAACATGGTCTGACTGGGTATCAGCATGTTTATTCCCACGAGGACAGGTGAGCACTGATACAGGCTGCCCAGTCCCTGCCCCTGGGGTTTTCCAAGACAGTCCAGAAAAAATCTCCAAGCAAGCTGGACCAGCCTCAGGGCTGCTGCTGTAGTGAGCAGCAGGTCAGGAGAGACCTCCTGGTGCCCCTTCCCAGCTGAATGATCTGATTTGGGTTGTGTCCACCTTTGCACCTCTGTACCATGGTGTTTAGTACACTGTGTACATGCCATTAGTCAGTGACATCATTATTCCATCTGCTGCAGAACTAAGTAAGGGGTCAGGATCTTCCAGATTACTAACTTTTTTCTGGACTTGGAAAACGGTCATGCCTGTTCCATGTAACTCTGGGAGTTCTGGATTCTCAAGCAGAAAGGGAATAAGACAGCTGTTCTCACTGTGAAGTCCAAAGCTCCTGCATCCAGTATCAACACATGGGCTTTTCATAGGGCAAATATCAATTCCATCCAGGGCCATGAAAAGTGGAGGATTTTTTCACACACCCCTTCTTCCACCCGTACCCACGGGCTGCTTTATTCCTCCCTCATTCTCCTACATTGGCATAAACCTGACATAAGCTGTAACTGCTCCGTGAAACACACGCAAGAACACTCACACAACTTTACGTTTCTCCTTTATTGGGTGTGAAACTGTCCCCCGCTCCCTTTAGCTGTGATGCTGAGCACCTGCGCGGGCACGGATGCCCAATGTGGGGTTCAGCGGCGCTCCAGCCGCAGTGCCGCACTCCCGCAGGCGCTCCAGGCATTGCGCTGCCACAGCGAGCTCCACCAAACCCTTCAGGCCGACCTTATTTCCCGGTTTGAAAACACATACCCTACGGCCACCCGGTGTGCCGTCAGCACCAACACGAGCTGGCTTTCTGGGACACCGCCAAGGGAGAACCAAGGCCGCGATGCCGCTGCTCCCGCCCACTTCGGTACGGGCCGAGCTCCCGGAGCCTCCCGTGGGCCGCCTCCGGGGACCGAGGGGAGCAGCCACTCTCACCCCCCGTACCCGCGCCCGGGCCCCACACGCACCTGCCGCCGCCACCGGCCGCCCTTTTCCCGGCCTGGTTACCAAGCACCGCCACGCCGCTGCTCCCACGGCGGCCCGTTACCGGCGGTGGTCCCGGCGCTGCACGGCCCGCGGCGGGCGGTTACCGGTGGTCACCGGCGGCGGTTCCGGCCCGCGGTTACCGGTAGTGGTCTCGGCGCTGCCCGGCCCGCGGCGGGCAGTTACCGGCGGTTACCGGCGGCGGTCCCGACGCTATCCGGCCCGCGGTTACCGGCGGCGGGAGCCGGAGCCGGGCCCGACCGCTGGTCCCGGCGCATCCCCGGCCGCGCACGCGCACGACGCGCACGGCACCCCTGCCGCTCGCGGGGCTGCGGGAGCAGGTGCCGCAGCGCGTGCCGCGCCCCGCCGGACAATCACGGCGCTGCGCGCGCGGCACGGCGCGTCCCAGCGGAGCGGCCGCGGAGGGTGTGTGGGCGCGGCAGATGGGCAGCGGGCTGCGCCAATCGGAGTTGCCCGAGCTGAGGCGAGAGCCAATGCGCGGCTCGATCGCGGCTGCCGGCCCGCCCCGCCAGGGGCGCCTCAGCCAATCGCCCGCTGACAATTAGAATAATAATAATTTGGGCAATTTGAATTAGGACAATATGAGACAATAAGTACAAAGAGTTACGGACGTCCGGGTACCTTTTTCTGGGCAGCACGAGCCCGAAAAAGGACCCCCGTTAACAGAGGATTAACCCTTAAAAACAACAGCCTGTTGCATATTCATACATCTCATACATGATGCATAAATTCCATTCAAACACAGGATTCTGTCTGGTCGTTGTCAACTTTTTCCTTCTAATCCTTACAGCGCCTTCGAGGGGGGAAGAAGTTCGTTTCTGCTGATAAGAGGGCAATAAATTCTTTTTCTCTGAAAGATTCATGTGTCCTGTTGCTGCTATCTCGCTGCAAGTCCTTTCTTTAAAAAAAGTATCCTACACAGCATCGTTTCTATTTTAACAATTTTTGTAACCTAAAACTATATTTACCACAGTACTTAAGAGAATTAATACAGCGTTCCTTTCTAACACAACACATGTAACATTCATTTTAATATTTGCAAAAGGCCAATCATAAAATACATGGATTTTTCACATTCTTCCACTGCTCTCCCTTGTGGTAAACTTCCCGGGGCTGGAATATTTGCTTTTCCTCTATTGCCTCTAAAGTGAAAATCCAGAATTTCCCTTAGGAGGTTCCTTTTGTTTTACAGTGGAGCTGGGGTTCGGCAGACTGCGCAAGAAACCTCTGCTGTTGTGAGAATTAATGGTTCTTGTGAAGCTTTAATTATTTACAGCATCAGGTAAAACCTCATTTACATCAGAGTGATGAGAGGGGTATTCTCTGATTTACAGTTGTGTAAAATGTATAAAAACAGAAACGAGGAATGAAGCACCAAGCTGGCAGCACAGAATGGAAAATTTGATTTAATTTTTTAAAGTCTAGTCATTTCCTAATACAATTTCAAGTATTCTGATAAGCTTTTGAGCTTGAAAATACCCTTCAACAACTAGAGAGAAATCTCAATTTACTGTGAAAATCTATTATTTTAGTATATTCTACGTTTATTTCCTGCTGTCAGGATGCAATGCCTGTGCAGGGGAATGAGGGTGCAGTCGTGCTCCATGTGCTAAGGAATTCTGACCATTAGATGTCCAAGGTAGATTGTCATTTCCCAAAATCTTTTCAAATGAGACTGCTGTGGTTTACCCTTTATTTTCAAATTTATGTTGAATTTGAACTTGTGACAAGAATTGAAATGTCAGTACACGCTGATTATCTAATTCCAGGATCCAAAATTTTATTTAAATAGATTTTCTTTTTACAAAAATATAGTTACACATAATACCCATATTTCCTGTAATTAATTCAATGCACAATTCACTTAGAAGTTATACAATCTTCCAAAAAATACTTGTTTAAGTTTCAAGTTATTCACATGGTAATTTGTAGGTCATTTTTATTGAAAAAAATATTTAACATAACTTATGGCACATTAAGGCTGAAACACATTTATATTAAGTTCGAGATCAATTTCCATAACATTAAGTTGTTCCTGTGAACTACTTTAAATACCTGCAATGAATATTGACAACTTTTCCTTCAGTTCTAATTTCCCTACAAAACCGACCAGTGTTTTCAATGGAGTTGAACACCATGTCCTGAATATTTTTCAAAAATGCCTGTATTTTTATTTCTGGTGAAACTCCTTACACCTTTATGCTTTGGTCCCTGAGGCAGGCTGTAATGCCTTATCAATTGCTTGTAATAATATCTTTTTAATGTTTCTATATGACATATTTCTCAAGAATATGTTATGGAAATTACTAACATTCTTTTCATATACCTTGTCATATAAAGACCTAAGATTTATCCCAACTGTTTCCTAATACAGAGCATTAATAACTAAATGGGCATGGAATTGGATCTTTTGTCCCAGTCTTTTTGTTTTGTTTTGTTGAAGTCAGCCTTGTTTTCCAGAAATACAGAACAAGTGACACATCAAAAATGGTTTTTTTTCAGTTTTCAGATGTCTTGATAAGTACCTGGAAAAAAACAAAATCTATTATTTTCTAAAATCTGCAGGAGCTTTGCCTACAACATTAGTTTTTTTCCCTTCTTCCAGTTTAAGGCTGCAGTAATTCTCTTCAGTGACTTCTGCTAAGAATTTCTATTTATGACTTACTGACATTTAAACATTTGGGGAAAAACTTGGTAGAATTAAAAATGAGAGGCTCATCTGAAAATGCTGACATAATGTAATTAATGTTGAAGATGGTGACTGAAAAGAGCTTTGTTTGTCAAAACCCAAGTCCTAGCAAGTACAGTTACAGCACTGCAAAACTGGAGAATCATCCTGCATGAGCATTTCCAGCACTTTCAATGAAGTATGTTTAATTTCTCTCCTGAAAATAATTAACACAATTCTTCACTTGTGTTTTTCCACACAAAATTCCACTCAAAATGAAATATGAATGATTACCCATAATATACAATTGGAAGAAGCAGAATTAATTTAATAATGAGAAATAGAAACGCTTTTATTGCCGTGCTTACCTCACTGAGTATTGCCCAGACTGGAGAGTCAGAGCTGACTGATAAACGAATGGCCTCTATTCTTCCTACTGCCTGGCTGATGCTGCCTTCTGCTGTGCCATTTTCAAAAGCCCCTGAAAAAAATGCAGACTCTTTACAGGGACTGTAATTAGTTCTCCTTCTAATTAGATGTCTTGGCTTTTGCCACTGGTGATATTTAAATCAAAATAGGAGAGTCATTGATCAGACACCATACACTACAACACACAGTAATGCAAAGGCTCCTTTCCTTTCCTTTCCTTTCCTTTCCTTTCCTTTCCTTTCCTTTCCTTTCCTTTCCTTTCCTTTCCTTTCCTTTCCTTTCCTTTCCTTTCCTTTCCTTTCCTTTCCTTTCCTTTCCTTTCCTTTCCTTTCCTTTCCTTTCCCTTCCCTTCCCAACACTTCCCAACACTTCCCAACACTTCCCTTCCCAACACTTCCCTACACTTCCCAACACTTCCCTTCCCAACACTTCCCTTCCCCTTGGAATGTTGAATTTACCAAAAAGTTAATGAAATCCTTAAGAGCAGAAACATTTTACATGTAGGAACAAAATTTCTGGTTTTGAAATAACAAGAAATAATTTACCTATTTTTAAATATCCGTCTTTGGTTGCTGGGTAGTTAAATTTACTTCCATTGTGAATCAATTCTTTTCTTAGCGTTTTCTGTAAAAAATAAAACAATAACATTTCAAGAAGTATTTTCTGGGTTGTGACATTTTATGCTGAATATCATTCTGAAAATGCAATATGGTTCCAAATGAGAGACTTACATCAGCTGGCAGCACTTCCACAGTGGTGTTAAACAGTTTATCACCAGGGTGCTCCACGTTCCCACTTCTGAACAAGTACCTGATGATAGAGGTGTATTATTTCCAGGTATTTTATACTTTAGAAGAGTTCTAGGGGAGTAATTCTTTGAAGGAAAGTTTCAGATACCTTTTCTTTATATATTTTGGGCTACAGAGAACAGAAATAGCCCTTGAAACTATAAACCAAACCATAATATAGGATTTTTATTTTAAACAGAACAACTATTTAAACCATCTTTCTCTGGGACCACAAAGGCAAGTGTTCTCCATTTTTAGTGCTCAAGTTCCAAATAAATTAACTTTCCAGGTTTAAATGGCTAAGGAAGGTCTGCCCTCTGATCTGTTCCTGTGATTGTAACACTGAAGTGGAATGAATGGGCTTCTGGAAAGTGAGTGGCAGCAAAAATTTCTGTTTCTACCTGGCCATATACTACATGCCAGGAGAATTCCCCTTTTTTATCAATACTGGTCAACTCAGGTGCTTCTAAAGAATTTCTTTCATAGCCAGTAAGCAAGAGCATTGACCAAACAACAATCCAAGCAAAATCATCTAAGAATAAATAAACCCCCCCCCCCATTTTGTTTTAAATTTCTGGCATTAAGAGTCCTCAGGGTTTTAGATTCAAAAAGAACAAGGAGAAGTTAAATCATCAAACTCTGTCCTCTGATATGAAATATTCACCATTGATGAAATTCATCAGTTGAAAACAAATTCCTTTGAGAATTATTATGTAAAATATTTACCTGAAGAAATAAATAATAGTATTTACCTGAAGACATAAAAGGAAAAAATATTCAGAACCTCTCTAACTACCAATGAAGACATGTATTTCAGGAGGGGATCTGCTCAAGAAGAGCAGATAAATAGTAAATCATGGCATTTTTTTAGTAACAACTGTTTGCATAAACAGTTGAGCACCGATAACTCCAAACAGAATCAAGCATTTCCAAACTGGATATATGTAGGCTTCCATGTTCCATATCATGTAATACTTACTTTTCAACTTCTAGTGGATTTAAAAATGTGAACCTGATGTAGTCACCTGCCACTGGAGCTAAGGCCCAAAAACAGTCTTGTCCTTTGTAAACTTTTTCCAGGGTATATTGCTCATATATTTTTAGGCTCGTGTCCACTTTTGCGGGTGGATTATTATGTGCTTTATGTAGCAACATTTTTCCAAAATCTTTATCCTGTTGATATAAAGAAATGTAATTTCACTCATACAACGGAAAAAAAAGTGCATTGGTGTCTGTAATTAATACAGGAAACTATTCCAGAAAATAACCACCTCAGTGTCAAAAAACACACCACCTATTTTTAATACATATAGAATATTGATTTCACTGTAATCACTGGACTCAATGTTACAATTTGTAGACAGAGCTGTACTGATTGTTTCTTAGCTGCCGAGATTTAAAAATAAAAATTTTCACAGGAGGCCATTTCATAGCCTGCAGCTTAGATGCCACATCAAAATTCCCTACCAAGCCTGTAGAACATAATTGGATATTGAAATGCCACATAATGCCAAAGATGCGCTCCTTGATTTGAGAAATAAGTCAGAACACAAGCATATAATGTAAAAATATGGCATTGATTTCTTGTTCTTACTTTCAAATTCTGTATCTTCCCAGCCAAGGATGAAAAGGTTCCCATGTGCTGAAAGAGAGATGGCTTAGCACGGACACGCAACTTTGACTTTTCCTTCTCACAGTGTGTCTAGAAACAAAGTAAAAGGGAGTGAAGGGTTATTTAACCAAGGAGAGACAAGCTACGTTCCATAAGGCAATTTCATTATGTAGTTAAGGGTATGGGTTCAGATATTTTATCCATCTTTACATGAGTTATCCTTGAATTAATAGTCACCTCCTGTCACATACACTGTCTCTAGACCAAAACTCATCATTTCACTCATGCTGTTATTTAGATTTGAAGGCTCAATCACCAGTAATTCATGGATTTCTGCAGAGTATGTGATGAATCACGCTCAGGGTGACAAAAATTGACTCAAATCTGAAACTGACTGATTTCTTAGCTGTTTCTGGCAAACTTTATTTCAACTTTTAGTCTTGCCACATCATTCTAATTAAACTATTTTGACCAAAACTGACCTTCTTAAGAAGGATTCTGGTTACATTTCAATATTCATAATTTTGCCTCTTTCTGTTGTGTTTGGCAGGCTTTAACATACTCTAAGTTATGGATCTTTTATCACATAGTTAGAGAAAGCCCTTAAATACTGCATACTTACTGCATCCTTCTCTGGATTGCACACTTTAACCCAGAGCAGGTGGTCTATGAGCCAGTCTATAGGCTTATCCTTATAGAACATGAGAAAAAATTCCACTATTTGTGGTAAGTCTTCTGATTTAAACAATTTTCCTGAAAGCAAGACAAGAAGTTATCTTTTTATTGCTATGCAAGAAGTCATCTTTTTATTGCTATGCTGTTTTGTGTTTAAATGGAATTTATTTAAATAAACATTTAAGTATCACACCAGCCTTGCACACATTAATGTAATTGTGATATTTCATGAGAAACTTCACATAGAATCTGGCTTTGAAGTGTTCTGATCATCCAGCCCTTTGATATGGGCTGCATATTCTCCTCCACAAAGAAAAGGAAGTTTTGGGGGGTTTTTTATAGATTGTTCAAATTCCCGTCTTGAAAAGAGAACTACACATTACAGGGGCACACAGTTCCCTGAGGTGGAACAACTTCCTCCTTATGGGAACTCAGTTATAGATCCTGTGCTGAAGAGACTCTGTGTTAACAAGGCAGTTTTAAAGAGAACAAAAATCAAACTACTTTCAGAGGGCTGTTTCCTGAAGAACCAAGGAAGTTTTGATATGCAGGTTCTTCCATGCTTTGAGATGTGATTCTGACTTTTTCACCTACACAGCTCCAAATGCAGCTGATCCTGCTGAGGTCTTAATACTTACCAATAAATCCAAGCTGTGAGAACTCAAGAACCATCCAATCTTGGGACTGCTGAGCAGCAAAGCTTTTTATGCTCTCAACAAAATCAGGCTTGGCTATAATATCATCTTCCAGCTGGGAGGAGGGGGGAATGCAACAGAAAAACAGAAGGCAAGCAATGATTGTACTGTTTGCAGAGGGGGTGGTGACACTGCCACAAGAAAATGAAAACTGTGCTGTGTTTAATTGCTGTACCACATGTCCTGGAGCTGAAGGGTATTGGAAGAGGAGACTGACATTCATCCAGGAAATGGGAAAGGCTTCATTGCTGCCTGGCCTCCAGACAAGAACTGGGCATCTGAAAGGCCAGGAGCTGTTCCTGCCACTGAAGCTGAGGATTGTGAATCCAGACAAGGAGCTTGGAGGCAGCGACACAAAGGAAATAAATGTATTCCAGAAATAATTAAGGAGTGAGTAATTCATGGTTTGAATTCAGGATGGGTGTGAAAACACAGGAAGAGGAGGCAAATATTCAGGAAAATATTGCTGGGATATAGTGTAATCATACAGTAATTTATTCTAACTGCTGTACGTGCTGGAGCTGGCTTCAGAAAGTTGAACAGCTAGAAAATTAATCCTTTGGGGAAAAAGCCCCAGCCAAACAAAACATGATTTCCTGCTGCTTTTGGGTCTTCAACTGAGGCAGCAGGGCCATCATCAAGAACTTGAGAGATCAGGCCCAGAGGTTTTAGCTGAATTTCTGCATCATTTCAAGTGTGGGGCTGGCTGACAAGAAATGTGTTGGCAGCAGTGAACCCAGGAATAAGCAGAATGGAGTTAGAAAATTGAAATTAAGAGATCTGTTTTGACACTGACATTTTGTCTCACCAACAATGAATTGTGAAAACTGTGGGAGCTCCACCAAATAGCAGACACAACCTAGAGTCTAGTGAGGGGAAGAAAAATAAATTCCATCTAAAGTGAACTCACTGAGATATTGCTCAGGCTTTAAATTCATTACAGAAATGCTGCTGGGAATGAATATTACAAATATATATATATATGCACAAAGCTTTCCCAGGTTCCACATGAGGCAATAAAAATCATAGCAGTAGTTCAGGAAACTACTACAAGTTAAGTTAGAACTTGATAAGAGATTTTATCTGAAGAAGCCAAGATTTATTTAATGGTTAGTTTTTGTTTCATCTCGATGCTAATAGAAAACACTTAAAACTGTTGTATGTGTGTTTCTTTCAGATTTGAAATGTTTGATTCCTGCAGTGGACAAGAAATAACAAGTGCATGCCCTCACTATGAGGCTGGGGTTGGATTGCCTGCTTTTATGGCTGATCCCATGATTGTAAGTGCTTCAAGGGTCCCTGGTGCTTGCAGGGAGGTTCAGTGGAAGTGGAAACAAGGACCTCAAAGTTCTATTGAGGTGGGGCAAAAAAGCTTTAAGGAGACAAGTTGATCAGTGGGTAATCAGTGGGTTGGGTTCATGCCCACAGTAAGCCTGTTAGCTTCAATGGACTTCACAAAAAGACTTGAATCCTGGTTCAGCAGGATCCTAGAACAAGTGTTTGTTCAGCAAAGATCTTGTCTGGCCCATGACATCAGCTGTGCTGCACACATCAGGACTAACTCTGTGTGCTTATCTTCTCTCAGGGTTTGGGAATTGGTGTCAGCCACTCAGTCAATGCCATTCCTGGCTAAACCAAACAAAAATCTAACCTAGCTCAAGTTCTGCTCAAGATTGCTGAGGTAAATATTGTACCAGTCTAAGGAAAAGCAGTTTTGTTTGCTTTCCTTTAACACAGGACTTCTAAACAGAGGAGGTCATAACTGAGTTTGTGCTTCTTACCTGCACTCTACAGAGCAGCTTTGGGGCAGCCCAGCATCTGTGCTACAGGAGCAGCTGCAGGCTGGACACAGAAATGAAGAATGGGATAAAGTAGGAACAGTATGAGGAATGGGATGAGGAAAGTGTAGTTCCTTTTTGAGAAAATTCCAAAAGCAAACATAGCTCCCAGCAGACTACCACCATCCAGGCTTTGTCCTTAATAACACAGCTCAGTTGTTATATAATGTCTCAGATAAGAAAACACATGCTCTCCATTCCTTTAGAAATACAAATACAAAAGTAAGTCATTGTGGTGCAAATAGGAATCCTTGGAGAACTTGGTAACATCAAGTGTCTGACAGCATCTTAATGTTTCACTTCACCGGGTGTCCTACACCTTGATGTTGTAGTGCACTCAGTAAACTTGGAAAATGTTCTTAAAAATACACACAAGCCACAGGAGAATACTTCATTTTCCATGAAACCATAACTGTTCAAAACACAGCATTTTTGTTTGCCCACCTGCATCCTGAGCACCTATGCCACGTTTGAGAACAGAGCATGGGGACTCTCAAGTAGCCCAGCTCAAATGGGATTTTGCTGAATCCTGAAAAAAAATCTCCTGTAGGAGATGCCAGGTCCTGCACACTCCTGCTTCCAGGAAACTGTGATGTCCTTATGGAACACCAACTCTGAGGCAAAATGATCTTCTGAGCTTTTTAAAAGTTATTGAGATAGGTGAAATTTTATAGACCTGTTCCATAACTGAGCAGCTCTTATAAATGTTGGAATCTGTGGTGGTGATTAAGGTCTTTATGGAGTGCAAATTAGCACAAATCCTGAATGATGGTTAAAGCTGAGCTTAAATGCATGGGGATCCTCCTAAAGGCTAACATAATATTTTCTGGAGAATTAAGGATCTGTGCCAAGTTGTAGCTGACCTTATCTCAAGTATCACTGTACTGGTATGTCCCTGTTTGAAATATTTCACTTCACTGCCATCTGGGCTATAACCTGAACCTGTCACTACTCTTTCTCCTGACTGCAGTAAGTAAAAAGAAACTAAAGTCTGACTTTCTCAACCTAATCAAATGAGGGTTTCATGCTTCAGTTACCGTGCTCTTCAGCCTCACAAATGGCAGGAAGGGAGAGATGGCTTTAATCAAACAGTACCTGGCTGCAAGATGTAGATAAATACAGAAATATGTGGATGCTTATAAGGAGCAGAGGCAAAATACACAGAAAATGACATAAGATTGCTGGTTTTATTGAGGCCTTTGAAATGAAAATTGCCAAAACTAAGCATCAGTACAGAGCTATTGCTGATACTTAATGATAATATGGACCTACCTGTAAATAAAATGTTCCCTTAGGCTGAGCATACAGCATTAAAAAGCTATAGTCCAAATTCTGTTTAGTTCTCCACCTAAACATAAGCAGCAAATTCTGATAAGCTTTTTGAGCTTTTTTATTATTTCTATAATAAGAGAACCTCTAATGCTCTGCATTTTTTGTCTCTACAATAAAATCTTAAGGTTGTATATTCCAACCCATTGTTAAGTGCAAAAGCATTCACCTACGATCAGTGTAAACATTCGTAAATAATTTTATTTTCCTGTAAAATCTAACATTAAATAAACAAAAAAAAATTGATCTCTGTCAATGGAGCTTGAAACAAAATCTCTAACAAGTTATTAATATCAAATGACTTACAATATTCTACTAATTATTTTATGAAGAGTAGAAATAAAGACACATGGATTATTTATAGATGAAAAAGTAAATGGTTTTACATATGAACAGCACAAGAGCAGGTTGATAACCATGATTTTCAGGTCTAAATATAAACATATATTTTGTACAGTCTCTCATTTTACCAGAGGATGATAATGATGTTTGATAATCAACACTGAAAGACTACAGAGTAATTTATTGGTGGTTAATTAGCATAAAAGTATAGCTGATCCAAATCAAATAATATCTAAAATTAAATTATAAGTATGTAAACTTGCTTATGGTCTGTGGTATGAACACATATCTATAAAGCCAATATACATACAGACATTTATGTGAATATACTAGCTGACTTCCTCCAGCCTAAACTCTTAGTACTGCAACTCTCTTGCTGCATTGTTGCAGTGGCTTCTGATAAATTACTTATTGTTGATGAAGAAAATAAATTTCCTCCAATAAATATATATATTTTTAAGGTTATAATCTATCTTACTGAATTTGGAGCATGGGAGTGAATGAAATCACCATGAAGGGTGTAGTAAGAGTAGATAAAAGCCCAATGACCACCCTAATTTAGGTCATTAATTAAACCCACAGTAGCTGTCAGTGATTAGCTAGAGGGCCACTTGGGCTGTGTGTTCACAGAGACTCTCTCTCATCAGTGACATTAAAGATTTTTCTCTTTTTTCCCTTATGACAGATCATATAGCCCATTACTTGTTGGCATCATCCATCAGGTTTAAAACCTCTTGTATGCCCAGAGCCAACACCTAAAGGAGCTGCCTTGGCTCTCACCCTGAAGCTGATGTGCAGAATAGCATTTCCCAAGACCCCCTTGTAAATTCTTTTTACCAGTACAAATGAGGTCCTTCAGCTCTGACATTATCAGCTCAAACAATGCTGACTTTTTCTGAATTTTCCATTTTACACTCTTAGCAAAGTTCTAAGGCTCTACTCTTACCTTACTCGGTCCTCAGAATCTCCGAGTGTTTTCGGCAGGTTGGAAAGGTCTGGGTAATAGGAAGCAGAAGGAGAAACAACCTCCAGGACTCCAGACTGGACTTCTCTGGGGAAGCTGGGCAGAGAACCCCAGTGAGATCCTGCTCCTCAAAAACCCTTGCGGGGGCAACCACAGACAGCAGCTGCCCTGTAACCTCCTTTGGGAGCCAAACCTGGAAGTCAAATTTCCCCTTTCCTCCAAAAAACCACACAGCAACTAATCAAAAAGTCTAAACAAAAACCACCAGCCCAACAAACAACCCAACAAAAACAAACAATCAGGCCTCAGGTGCATTAACTGCATCATGTTAAAACCCCAACACAAAACAGGTAGAGCAGTGGTTTTAAAACTGAGTTTCCCATTTCCTATAATTAGTAAACAAAAGATAACACTAAAAATTAAACACATCAGAGTACCAGCATTATGAGAAAAAATATCAATCTGACTGTGTAACCCTGACAAAGCAAACACTCTGTGCAATTTTTTCAAAAGCCATAAAGCAGTAATCAAAATGATCTGAGGGTTTGAGTTGCTGTAGGTATTGAGTGAAGCAGGATGTGCAGAAACCCTGAAATGAGGAAGACAAGGGATCCTCCAGGGATCTTGTTCAGGGAAAATAAGAGCAAGCAGAACTGCAGTGGGAACCAAGCTTCCATTTGGCATCTCTAGGGTTAACCTGCTAGGGCAAAGACCACCCATCTCATATTGCCTACCATGTAGTAGCAATTATTACAAATTATAAATGTAACCCCACTGCTGCCCCAAGTGCATTGCCTTCCTGAAAAATAGTAAAGAAAAAAGGAAACCTTTGCCTCAGGTGCATTTCAGTGTTGAAATGTTCTAGTTCTTTCCATAAAAGCTCCAAATACATCCACACTGGTGGCTGAGTGTAGGACTTACCTGGTTTTAACACTTTCTGCTACACTCTTAACATACTCTGCATCCACCTAAAGAAAAGAAGGGAGGGTTTCATTAAAAGTCACTCAGTTTTGTATTAAACAACACTTTGTAGGGAATAGGCATATGCAAACACGTAATTTTTTTTTCCTTCCAAACAAATGTGGTATGTTACAGCAGCATTTCTAGTAAGGAGCAGTATGGGCTTTTCAAACCAACCAAACTTTCACTATAGTTCCCTTTTGTTTCCAGCTATCTCCAGCTGCCATTTCTGGCACTGTCTTTCACTGCTTTTGCAGAAGACCAGGCTGTTTTCTGGCTAAAATTCTGTTCTGCCATGCCAGTAAAGCACAGCCATAAAACTATCAGTAAAAAAAAAAACTGGTTTGGGTTAATAATCCAAAAATCACAAAAGAGGCCTAAGGCTGATGAGAAAAATCACCTAAGCAAAATATTCTAAAGCCAGCAATACTTAAAATTTTTATTTAATTTCTTCCTAATACAACAAACTTACAGCTCTATGTTTAGAAATTTTGAGGACATTCATCACTGCTGTTTCATAAAAGTACCAATGTTAGTGTGCCAAACATATCTGTTAACTACATTTAGAGTGAAAAGTTTTATTTCTAAAGCAACACAATAACTGTCTTAGGAGTTCAGATTTTTTCTTTAAATAAACAAATTCTTTAATATATAATTGTTACCAATTATATGTTAAACTTGTGGTAAGAAAAAAAAAGTGAAATACAGAACTGTGGTAAGAAAAAACAACATCCAGAACTTAAACTTACTCTCAGTCAATAAGTTACTCAAGCTTAACCCATGATGCAAACCTTAACCTTGATCTTTTAAAACTTTGTGGGAAGAAGGAAGGTGTGGATTCATGACCAGTGAGCACACCTGCCCTCCTCTCACAATAAAATGTTCTTATCAGCTCTCAGATCAGCGTGGTTATCTGCTCCAATTTACTGCATCGCTGAAAGATGGAAGCTGTGAGAACAGGACTTTGGGTTGGGAGGAAAGGGACAGTGGGTCCTACAATGGCAGTTTAACCCTAAATTGGCTGATATGGACCATAACTGCACCCACAGCTCCTGTTTGTTTGAAGTGTCACATTAGGACTCTGCACAGAGGGAAACTATTCAAAAGTCAGCCCTTAAAAGCTCACAGAATCCTCAGTAAAAAGCCCTGTAATAAAAAGTTTACCTCAATGGCAGCCAGGCAAAGTTCATCACTGCCAGGGTATTGCAAAATACCAACTGCAAAGTGAGATCAGCTCCTAGAAACAATGCTGAAGAGGAACTACAATAAAATTAGTCCTCTGTACTCATCATTGGGATCCAAACAGAAAACTGGAAGGCATGGCTAAAATTAAAGTGAACTATACTCTGTTTGACACTTTTACACCTGCAAAAGGATGGCTAAATAATAAAAAATAGCAAACTGTAACTGTTAATGACTACAGGCATTAATTCATTGCTGTCTATGGAAGGACAAAGAAATATGAAGAATAAATATGAATTCTGAATAAATGCACAGTCATTTTACCTGCTAGAAGCTATTACTAGCTAATTCCTTTCTGCAGCTTTTTCTATTTCTGATGTAATCAAGGTGGTTTTGAGTGAGAAAAAAAAGCATTTATCCTTAATATCTTACCTTGAGCACTGTTTACTTTCCCAAACATGTTCAAGGCTCTGAACAGTTTTCTTTTGCATGGGAAATGCCAAAACACATGCAGAAAGCTCCAATATGTCGGGATGCTTTGCAAGACACGTGTTACCAAACCAGCAGATAAATAACAAAGGCTAACAGCACTTTGCACTATTACATTTAGACATAAATAATATTTTCTATCAGCATGCTGCACCTTTCCATATACACTCACCTCTGCTACAAAGATGATTATTACACAGTCCCTCTTCTGCTCCTCAGAGAGTTGGTACAGCAGGGAATGCAGAGTATCAATCAGGTAATTTTGTTTTTTCCTTTTCACTGTAGGAATACCCATCACCAGGGAGACTGCAAAGAGAGAATGCCTCAAGCCATGTCAGTAAAGGGAAACTGAAATCACATTTTAATTTTGATTTGATATGCCCATGAAAGTGGTGACAGTTAATATTTAAGGAAATACCATTACAGCATTTGCTGTCACATGACAGTGAGGATAATGCATTTAAAATTTGTATCATAGTTCACTGGAATTCATTATGATTTCTGCAGGTGCCAGTTGATTTCTCATGTGGATAAAAAAAGCTCCATTGAAGATATATTAATAATCCTTTAAATGGTCACATCACCTTTCCCTTTGCTTCTCACATTGGCAAACTGAATGCATGACAAATTTGTCTTGGCTTCCTCATCCATACTCATTTTGTGGGGGGGAAATGTCAGCTACTGCATCTTAGCCATATGAATATATGATTACAACAAAAAATAATATTTTTCAATTAAGATTATATATATATATAATTATTGTTGTTATTATATTTGTTGTTATTATTATTGTTGTTATTGTTATTGTTGTTATTATATTTTATAATAATTATTTTATAATTGTTTTTATTTCAGGTCTTTAAGATAAAGACCTGGAATAGGGGTGGGCATTTTAAAAGTATTTTTGCTATTGCTATTAAAATTCATTCAGCTTGGCAACATTAAGGGAGAAAATCTATTCAAACTCTTGATTATGTTTCATTGCTAGAAATTGATAAAAAATACAAACATATAGCAAATAGAAGCAAACTTGATTTCCTACCTCCAGTTCTCTGCTGCCCAAAAATAACATTTGGGAAAATTGCATCTTCATATTCTTGCAGGTGAGGGAGATAGTAGTAGATATTTGTAAGGTGCACAGGGAGTTTTCTGGGCAGGGTTAACTCTTTCCACTTTAATTCACCTTAAAGACATAGCAAACACAGAGACCCACATAAAACCAAAAGCAAGCAGAGAATTCTATTTCTTCACCTGTTTTGCTCAGCTGAACACTGGCAGATCACCACACACAAGGTTATTCAATCAGAACTATTCCTCAGAAATGATTACATGTCATATATGTTACATTATATTGAATTGAGAATTTCCCAGAGCTTCCCATTCAGCTTGAACATCCTGTATTTCCCTGCACACTTGCAGGACTGAGCCATACTAAAACACCGCAGGTAGTTATTGCAAAGGCAGCAGTAAAAAACTGCTTGGTTTGGGGATTTTTTTTTTTTACATGCTAGGCAAGCAATTTTAAAGTGAAAAGAAACACAGATTCTGATTAATAACCTTCTTAACTACTTAATAAACTTGAATGCTTTCCCCAAACAGTAACACATGGTGATTTTCACAGCAGAAGCAAAGGTTCTCTATTTACAAAAAGTTCTATGGTAAAAATAATGACCACATACAGGCCTTTAAAAACTATTCAAGAAACAAAAGGCTGTAGCAGTTAAGAGAAAAGCAGGGATTTTATTTTTCTTTACTACTTTAAAATAAAGATGAAAGCAAAAGAACATTTATTGACTGGGATGGAAAGTTACTTTTCCCAAGGAATGCATCTAAAATAACTCCCAAAATTTACCGCCCTTCACAGTTACATACATGTGTCACAAAACCTACCATCAGCTTTACTCACTCAGCTTAGATTGAGAAGGGCAGAGGCTTACTGAATGGTCAGTATTTTAAGTTTTACAACTTCCAAAAGGTACTCCCACAGAAAATTCGGTCCAAAAAGAGATTTCCTACCTTAAAGAAAATACTTTAAAACCCCCTGAAGCAACCATATATATCTGCCCAGAGATCTGTGTGTGAGAGAGACCCACAAGTCCTTCTACACTGTTGAGCCATTAAATAAACTGGAATTTTGCTGCACAGAAACCACCTCCACAACTTTTCAAGAGCTTTCCTTTTTTGTTTGGAAGTAGTACCTATCAAATATTGGGCAGGGGAGTTCAGTTCCATTGACTGCAATCAACCTTTCCATTTTGGTTGTATAATAAAACACGGCTGGAATGGGAAGCAGAAGGGTAAGTAAAAATGAAAGGAAAATTATTCAGCGAGGCTCTGCCAGTCCCAACAGGGAGGAAAACACAGATTGTGCACAATTACATGATTTATTTTAGGTTTCAAAATCAGACTGTCCATCTATTGCATGTAACTCCAGTGTGCAGATAGACAGAGGTGCACAACAGCCTGTAAGGCAAGGTAACTAAAAAGTTCTATTAAACAATGGGTAGAAGCCAGATCACTGAACTTTACATGTTGGTGTCCTAAAAAAACCCCAACAAAACAAAAACCAAAGCAAACCCCTACACACCTGTGTGATTTTTTGTCATTTTCATTCCTCTTGCAGCTATATTTTTGATTTCATCTAGGGCACTGCTCAGTTCATGTGATCTTTTTTTGTTTTCCATGTCAGCATGCAACAGTCTTTGCTGAAGTTCCAGCAGCTGCTGTTCGTACGTATCTAAGTCATTTCCTGCAATAAGAATATAATTCATTTTCTAAAAGGTGATTGATGATGGAATGAAGTTCAAAACTAGGAGATGGTCCAGACGATCACATTGCCAAAGTGCGTAAACAATAATAAAGTTTATTCAGGAGAAGTAGTAGTCTGGAAGAATATTAAGAAGGTAGAGTTTAGGGAGCACAGCCGGGTAAAGGTAAACTGAAGTCAAAACCAAGAATACAAAATCTGTGAGTTGCTCCTTTCTTCACCAAACAACAAATCATGATGGCCCTTTTAACACTGAAAAGTATAATTATATAATGGCTTGTCTTGTGTTTCAAACACAATTAAGAATAAACAGAGATATTAGAAGAATTCAGTCCATGAGTTACATTCTTCATCTATGAGTATGTTAAGAACTGTTACTAAAGATGGTTATTATAAAGCAACACTTCAATAACAATTAGTAAAGAAAGGAGAAGAGGACTTCTGCCTCATTTTAAAATGTTTTATATGCTGCTTCTTTTATTCGTTTTGTCGTGGTGGAGTTGGTTTGGTTTTTTCCCTAGTTAAATGGTGTTATTTAGATAACATATTATCCCATTCTGTTTATGGGCTGTGCCAGATTTTATCTGTGGCATCTCATTTTCCACAACCCATCACTGTCTCTCTGCAAAAGTGAATTCCCAGGGATTGTCACCTGTAAAAGGCACTAGAGCAAAACACAGAGGTAACACCAATTTGTGAGGATTTGCAGAGGTGTTTCAAACTGGAATTAGTTTGCATTTTGGATAAACGGGGTTTTATTTGCATTAAACACAAGTCCTTAATTTAACCAAAAAATGTGTGATTGGAAGACTGAATTTTAACATACCTAGGAAGAAAGTGGTTAGAAAAAAAAAAGAAGTAAACATGTGATGCGTATTATCATTATTTACCTCATTAAAATTTTAAGGGATGTTTAATAAAACCCCATTAAATGAATGCTTCCTAAAATTTTTGACACTCTTAAAAATCTTTTGACTTGCAAGAAAGGCATTTGTATATATGAATATTTTATACTATGGAGCTTTGAACATAAATTTAGCATAGCTGAAGGAAGGGGAAATCTGGATTATTTCAGCTGCATGCAACAAGACGCTTCTTCTTGATTGAAGTAGGGTTCCCTAAGAATGATTCTTAGTAACCACTTATGTCATTTGTTCTGGGTGGCTCAGGAAGCAAGGGTTTGACACAAGGAACATAATACTCACTCACCTGTGGTGAAGAATTAATTTCTTATAAAAATATATAGTTTGAAATAGAAGATTAAATGTTTTAGGTTTTACTAGAGCACATGTAAATAGGCAACATTAACTATTACTAATTTTTTGTCAAAAAATGTGTGTTTGGAAAGCATTATGAAGGTAAACACTCAAAATATTTCAACAGTCATTGAGTTGAAATAGACTCATGTGTGTGTGTGTGTGTGATCATAAATGCTTCCAGTCCCATTAACGATTTCTGGCACTATCTAAGAGCTGTGGGACAATTCCTCACTATCTTGCCGTAGCACTCAAACAGAAAAGAAAATAAAAGGAGAATTTGGAGTGGCAGAAAGGAGGGAAGAAAGCACTTCAAAGTCTAGCAGCGACTCTTGTTCCTGTTTCTTGATTACAAGCTGAATTGCTTATCATACCTAAAGACTGTTTCTTTTAGAAACTGAAATTTGGTTAACGGACTCCTTAAAAGAAAACCATATAAGCACACTTACTGCAAAAGATCTTGTCATTCTGTGTGCCTGGAACCACTGCCCACTGCTCAGGTCAATGAGGCATGTTAAACCACTGAGGCATGCCTTGCGCCAATAACCAGCAGGTTATTATCTTTCCATAACTGATCTAATACCAGATATCTCTCTGAATCTTGTTACATGAGCTTTGCACGCAGGTTTTGTGCTCTCTGAGTAAGGAAGGGAAAAAAAAAAATCCCCAAACAATGCCCCCATCTCAGGTCAGAACAGCAAGTTCTTAGGCAAACATTTAAATTCAACAATGCGCATTACCTTTAACTATGTTGTTTAGAGTCTTACAGCACAGTGTTATTTGTGCCTTCCAAAATGTTAGAGAAGCACTGTGCCAAAGAAAAGCACAACGTGGGGCAGGGGAGATGGGGTTCCTCTATTCCCACACAGGGCAGGCTGGGAACAGGACCAGAATGCTTTTACTGAACAATTTACTGAACAATACTGTCTCTAACTGAAAAGAAATAAGCAAACTTGTTTCAAAGAAAATACAACTTAAGCTCTAACAACATTCTCTTAAATCTTGGCAAACAATCCTCATTTTAGACTCAAGTCTTTTCCTACATTAGAATGTAGTGAAAAGTGATCTTAAAACATTCAGTCAGCATATCACCATATAGGAAAGCAATATTATTAAAATAAGTGAAAAAATACAGAAATTGAATGGATATTGTATGGTGCTTGGCCATAATTGGTATACTTTGGTTTTAAGGTAGTACTCACTCACTTCAAGCAATTGCTACTGCTTTGTTCTGGTTGGTATTTTAAATATTTAATTATTTTACTTCTCTTCCTGAAGTAGCAACAAATTATACATACCTTCAGTTAAATGCCTAGCCATCAGCTAAGGTATTTCTAGCCAAAACTCTGTTCCTCAAGGCTCAGTGTGCAGCACTAGGAAAGCAGAAGGGCATATGGTTACACCTGTCTGAGGTTATGACCAGACACTGCACAGCAAACAAAGAGAGGTCTGAAATGCTCCCTTACCCCTTTCTCTAAAAACCCCAACAATATCTGGCCTCCTTTTGTGCCACAACATTTATGGCTAAGTCCCTCTACTCTTTAGGCACTGAAGTAACAGTGAGAAGCAGCAGAATCTTTATTTAATAAATTGCCCACGTTGAAGCCAGTAAAACTACACAGCTTTAAGTATCCCACAAATTTAGGTGAAAAGGTCAGCAACGTGTTACAAACCAATGCAAAGAGATTTAATCTTGTAACCCTTGAGAGCAACATGAAGAAGCAGTGCCAAAATAGATGATCTGATTTATCTCGTTGCTGTGACTTACAAAAATTTCACTGTTATTCAGCAAAAACCAAAATTTCTTCTCAAAGACCAAAAGTTCTTCTTTGGTGAATGTTATTTACCAAAATTTCTTTTTATCCATGAATACTGTTTCCTCTGAAGAAACTTTATGCAAGTTCATAATGAGTTTATAATATGGTTTTGCCTTCTGCTTTTCAAGTGGCAAAATTGCCACTGCCTCCTTCAATTTACTTTCTTGTTTTTATATAAGGTTGATTTTTTTTTAATGGATCAGTATTTACATGGAAAACAATAACTAATACTGTGTGAGAAGAGCACTACACATACTGTAAGTTGTATGCTATTTCTCAGAACCCCAAACCTATTTTTGTATTATAGAAGTGCTTAAGACCATAGTTTTGATCTTGGGTGCGCTGTCCTCGTTTCACAAAGCTTATTCACTATCCCAAAATCACTGCTTTCCCAGAAACAATTATATAGTCAGAAACCAGAGGGAATACTGCTGACTACTGCTGCTTGGCGTGACAGACTGTAGCCAAAAAATCAAGAGCAGCCCAAACACTTCAACGGGCAGAGCACTGAAGTTAACAAAAGTTAGGGGAGATTTAACAAATGTATGAGAGAAAATGAGTAGAAAACATCTGACTGATGAGGGAAAGAGATGGGAGCTGCCAAGCTGGACTCACAGTAACTGGTGGGCTGAGGGAAAAGGGCATCAGGAAAGAAAATACACATCATGCTTTGAGAGGCACCAAAAGTGGGAATTCCTACAGTGCTCTAAACACAGCAATGGAGAGCCAATTCAGCAGTGCAGAAGGAAAAAAACAGAGCTTGAACAACATCTAAGCAGAGACATCTGCCTGTTTTCAGAGCAAAGTATTAATTACAAGCCATTTTCTTAAACAAACACCCTGTGACAACAACAGAGCATCAGTGGTTCTGCTCCCAATAATTGTCTCTGCAGAAAAAGGTAACAACTTTGTTATTGTTACCTATGGCTGGCTGCTCTTAAGATTTTCTGGATGGGTACAAGGCTTGTCTTCTAACACCCCTTGGGAGCACAGACTATATTTTCAGTAAAATAAACATAATACAAAGTCATTAACCACGTACTGCTACTTTCTCCTTTAGTTACTAATATTAACTATTTTATTTACACATTTGTGAGATCTACCAAGCGCATGAGGGTCTAAAGACTACGTATTCACAGATGCAATGACCAAAGGTTAGCTACAAAACAGGTGCAAATAACAGTTATTAGGAAAATTATACCCTCTGAGAGGAATTAGTTACTCAGTTTGCTGTGGAGGAGGAGCCAGCTGTGGAAAGAGAAGTTAAGGCAACACATATACACCATAACACATAATCCCTCTTGCCCAAAACAAACAAAAAAACCACAAACAAAATCCCAAAGCAAAACAGCCCAGCAGGGAATGCCATCAGAGAAACGTCAAAAACAAAGTAAAATTAAAATGTAATGTCAACAATGAGGAGCCTCAAAACACGAACCACGAGACAACACAATGGTAACTGCAGAATGGGACAAACACTTTCATTCTGACCTCTCTTGGATTTCAGTCTCCTAAAATTTTTCCTTATTTTTCCTTCCCCACCCCTCACAGGAGTGCCACTGAACGAAACATAAAATGTTATAAGGCAAACAACCATAAAAGGCAGGAGGATCAGCACTGTCTCAACTCTATTCAATACGCAATTGCAAGGCCAAGATCTCTACACCACTTCTATTTGTTACAGAAATAATTAACATAAACAAATTATCTGCTACCTGGAGTTGTGTTCATCCCAGAAATTACTAAGTGGTTTATTCCAATTCTTCTGCACCTGTAACACCAAACCTCTTACAAAGGTGTGTGTAGGAAGCACTGAGAGATCCACTCTCTTTCCCTCAACCCAAACCAATAACAATAACAAACCAATAACTCACCCCCTCACCCACAACAAGCCATGTTTGCAAGTCTCAGAGATACTATTTGGAACTACCTCATTTCTTTCTGGAAAGTATCATCAGTTTTGTCTTTCCTACATTGGCTCAGAGAATTTTAGACATGGCTTTATGAAGATCTATATGGAACATACCACCTACATAACCTACTAAAAAGGCAGCGTATAATTTTAAAGTTGCGAAATAAAATATAAAAACTCGGGGTTTTTAGATTTTAGATTAGAAATCACGTTTAGTTTTCCTTTCCATCTTAACGTAAGAAAAAGAGTTGAAAAAAATAAAAGAGGGGGAAAAATAAAAGAGGAAAAAAGAGGGGGGAAAAAAGGCAAGAAGAAACTTCTTTCGTTTCTGAAATTTAGGGTTGTATTTTTAATCCTAGCCCTGCCCCGGTAGCGGGCGGGCTCCGGGCGCGCTGCCCCATGGCACGGCCGGTGCCCGCCGCCCTCCGCGCCCGCACCGACGGCACGGACGGGACTCCCCCGCCGCTCTCACCTGGGCTGCCGCGCCACAGCGCGAACCACAGCAGGGGAAAGGCGGCGCCGAGGCACAGCGCCGGCAGCACCTGCCCGAGCCGCAGCCGCATCTCCCGCGGGCACTGCCCGCAACACCCGCACGGCACCGGCACCGGCAGCGCCGGGGCAACGCGGGCGGGGCGTGTTCGCGCTGCCCTGCCCTGCCCTGCGCTGCCCAAGTCATAGCATTGAAAGGAATAAGATGGATGTGTACTTACAAACAGGTGCTGTGGATCTGCTGGCAGCTAGGGCCAGAGACCTGCAGGTAAGGAAGGAACGAGAGAAACTAGCAGTTTCAGAAAATGTTACTAATTGACAGGGATACTGCTCAGCCGAGGTCATGCTTGATTCCCGAACTTGGAGAAAAAGAATAAAGACTCGATAGAACCGTGTTGTGCAAGGGGTGGTGCGTGTGTGAGCACGTTAAGGGGGAATTGGGAAGTCTGTGCCTCCAGGTACCTCAGCCAATGGGGAAAGGAAGAGGGTGATGTGCCTGGGAAAATCAGGATAATAAGGGGGCTGTGTCCTCCAACAATCTGAGAGACCCCATGGGAAATACCTCATGCCTCCCTTTGTTCACGAATAAAGTTACAGAACTCCTCTGTCTCCTTTTTGAACGTAGACCTCTCGTTATGTTTTTTCTGCACAACATTGTAATGGTGAACATTATTTGACTAGTTCAAAACAAATGGGGCATTTGTTTTTATATTGCTTGCGAGGTTGTATCAGGAAGGCAAGCTGTGTGCAATTAATACATGCATTTAGCACAGTCACAGAATCAGGTAAATAAACCAAGCTTTTCAGTTCCCCTTCAAAGAGGAAGGAGGGCAAGCAGGTGCAACATCTCACCCGACCAAAGTCTAATGGTACACTGGTACCTATACCTGATAACAGCATTATACTGCAGCCATTGTCCTTGCTCCACACATGTGCCTTTCCATTCAGACACACACCTGTTGCCTTTTCAGGTCTTCAGCAATCCATAAGGAAACAAAAAATTAGTCACTGCTCAGAATACATCTCCTACAACAATAGTTTATAAAGGGAACAGATACCTCATTTACCAAGGTTCCTGGAACCACTTACAGCAACACAGTTCTAAATAAACCACCTACGTTTTTTGGACAAAAATGTTCCTCCTAATACCTGATTGTTGCGGTGTGTCTTAAGCTTCCGGGTCCCTTCCCCAGGTGTGCCAATACCCCCCTCTCCCTTCCCCCTCGCTCCTTGCTGAGTGAGTCCTGTCAATCAGGCTTAACATTCCAGCAAGGCATGGTGTGGTTGGTCAAGATCAAAGGATGCCCCTCAGGCCCAGGGGTCATTGGCCTGTCTGGGTGTCATCTTCCCCTGAGACCCTGCCCCTCTCACCTGGTTGGGTGGCTCACCTGTTCCCTCCCCTTCCCCTGTCCCTGAGCTTAAAAGGTGAATGAGACCATGCAGTCATGATTCTGTTGGAGCAGTTGCTCACATTCAGACCTCTGTAACCATGGAATAAACCTCTGGATATTAAACCCTCCAGCAGAATCCATCTCCTTTTTCTCCTCACCATTCGCCTGAAATCTTCCTCCTGAGGTAAACGGAGTTCCTAACAAGCCTGGACTTGTTCAGTGCCCAGCTGCAACCACCAGCAAGCCACAGGTATCTCTGGGGTGATTACACCACAGTTTCTGCCTTTGGCCCAGCAGCAAGGGTCAGACTGGCCCAGGCACAATATAACTGGTAATATTGGGATTCATATTCCAATACCTGATCAGCAGGTATTTAGTGGCTTTTGCTTTGACATGTTCTCTACCTGCTCACAAATCCACCTTTCACTCTGCAGCTATGACAAAGAAAATATGCTTTCCTGTTCTGTGCTGCAAACATGCAAAGGACAGCTTCAGAAATCAGACTGGGCTTGGGCAGATCTCAAAAGCAGCGAGCTTTTTGCTAGCTAAACTGTTATCTACTTCTTAATATATTACTAGCATATATAATTAATTACCTTATTTACCCAGAGGACATAGTAATCTAGACAATTTGTTTTCTGAAAATATGCTTGTATTATTAATACAGTATCTCTTCTCCCCTTTCTCCATTTGCTTACTTAACAATTTACCTCATTTTGTACCAAACTCCCAAATGATTTTGTGTGCAAAATGAATGGTGTGGTGCAGAGCAATACCAAATTCTACAACAGATGCGTCCAGACACAGGTGTGCTTGAGTCCTAATATCAATGCTGCCTTTATATGCCCCTCTTTATGCTAACAACAGTAGAACTATGTCCGTTTTGGAAATTTGAGACCTCACAAATTGTATATTGCTGCTCTGGCAAGGTCAGCATGACCTTCCTGTGTTTGAGTTATGATATGGATGAGTTTATATCTCTGTTTACTAATTACTTTGAATTATAAATGTTATTATTCATTAAAAATGCAGGAGACTGCTAGTAGCCTGCATCAGTATATACATGAACTAAAAATCTCAGTGTGGCTCCATAAATTGCCATGAAGCCTTGAGTTAGATCTCATTATTCCTGTCCTGTATAAACATTTCTTGTGAACTTCCCTCTACCTTCTGTTTCTGTGCCATTGAAATATTTTACTGAGAAATCTTCTGGAAGCTACACTTTGGATATGCATTTATAATTGGCTAATAGGATGCAATGCAATCACAACACAATCCTCTTTACTGCCTCCCCATCACCATTCCCCTCTCCCATTTAATAAACTAAAAGCTCAGGGCACAAATTTGGATGGAGGGTCAATGTAGATTTTGGCACATTTGCAGTAAAATAGAGATTAAGAACTAAAAAGAACAAATGAGCATTAAATATCCCCCCCCCCCCCCCCCCCCAGTAATGAATAAAATATCTTTATTCGTTGGTGTTCTATCTGTAATAAAGCTAAAACAAACATGTAAATGATGTGGTCAAGCAGGAGGGCTGCTGAAGATAAGATTAACAGAAATCTAACACACATTTCATTTTAGCTTCTTCTTGCTCAGATGACTGCTCCACATCTTTATACTGTTTTCACACATCCATGTGTAAGCAAGGGTAGACAAAAGAAACATTAAAATAAATATTTGACATTATACAGGCTTCTGGCTGAGCCAAGCAGTAGATTATTTTCCATGTCCTTCATCTGCAAATGTTGTAGTGCGTTCGGTTAGTCTATTTAGTGATTCCCCCATTTGTGTATTACTCCCCCATTCTATGTATTGTTTCCCCCATTTTGTCATGATGGTTCTGCCCTCCCAGTTTTCCCCGCCTTAGTTTCTGCCTATCATTTAGTTGCCATGGTTTTCTTTATGTTATATAATTTCCCCTCCCTCCCTTTCCAAATATGTATAGTTTTCTCTCCTCCCTGGGCCCAGTCAATCACTCCCCACCCCTCCCAGTTTTCCAGAATGTTCCCCGTAGTGGGAGCAGTGATTGGCTGTGGTCCCGGGGCCCCTCCTATACAATGTATCTATTGGTTCTCCCCTCAAGTCTGTTATGTTCAGTTCATCCCCCAACTTTTCCCGATAGGTTTACTGCAAACCCCTCCCTTGGTCCCCACCTCCCTTTATAGTCTCATGCTGTACCCCTTTTCTTTGTCACTTCCTGCTGGTCCTTCCCAGTTTGTCAGTTCGTGCTGGTCGCCCCCCGGGACATTAAACCTGTTTGGACCTCAGGAAGTGTCCGGCTCTCTGTTGCTTCGTCCTGCCTCGCAGCTCTCTCCCAGGACCTCCTCCAGCAGGCACAGCCCGAGGCCTCCGCCGCCGAGGGGTGCCTGGAGCTGTCAGCCCCGGGGCCCTGCCACCGGGACTGACACCCCCTGCTGCAGTGGGGCTGTTGGCCGCCCTCTCTACTAGCCGGGTCAACAGGTCTCAGGCCACGGTCATTCGCTGCATGCAAAGGAATAGGAACAAAGAATAGCTGCCAGTAATAACGGGTAATGGCTGCTGCCATGGAGAGTTTTCTGACTAGACAGATCCAGCTGCTGGTTATTTGCCCTGCTGCTCATCCAAGAAATGGGATTTAAAAAAGTAAACAGGTTATGATCTTTACTTCTACCAAAGTCTCTGTGAAAGTGAAACTTGAAGGCAAATACTGAATACAAGAGGAAGGTGGATTTTTTTTTAAAGTTACTGCATGGTATTTTTGACTGTCTTAATAGAATTTATTAACTGACTGCACATGATGTTACAGAGACATCTTGCATGATTCAAGTGCTAATGTTTGTAGAAAATCAGACATACTTGCTGTCCTGCAATTTACAAAAAGCTGTGGAAAAAACCAGTCAAAAAAGTGTGCTATATTATTTTTAAAGCATTAATTGGTTACAGATTTTACTTTAAAATACAGATTTAAAGTGAAGGAAACATCATATAAGCAGAAATAAGTGTAAGACTAAAGCTTGCATCTTTTAAATTCACATTTCAGAAGGGCTTAATTTAAACCAAGACCTTAAAATCTGTCAAGCTTACCTCAACAAACCTAATTCTATCACAGAGAAGTGTGGTGCAATGTGCTGCCAACACCAGATATTCTACACATCAGTCCTGGAGACTGGAAGCAAAAACAACTGATAAAACAGTAATAATGTAATGTGTGTATGTATTGTTACAGTAAATCACAATAGAAAGTAGAACAAATTCCAAAAATCATAGTAAAAGTTACTTTGATTCTTGACATTCCACACAAAATGTAATTTCTGTTTAAACAATTGAGGTTCACGTATCAGTGGTTTCCCCACATGAAGCCTTGCACCCCTGTGAGTACAGAACCCAGAGAGAGGATGCCAAACAAGCTGCTCTGTGCTCTGAAATCCTATGTGGGACATAGGCCATCAGACCTGCTGTGTGGCTTTTGATTTAGTGTAAAAGTAAGCTCAATTTCCACACATCAAAAAATATATCAGAATGCAGTCAAGCACGTCTGCCAGCTCCCTTACAACACTCCAAATTTTGCATACAATTCCGTGTTCAACCCATGTTTACTGAAACAATAAACTGTAATACAACGGCAGCAGTGACTGAAACTAAATGGAGCACTCAGGCTGAACCTTCATTCAGCAAAGGCAAGGCAAGGTCCATGGTAACAC